CTTCCATATAATATCGTCAGCTCCGTCTTTGGTTTTCTGTCGATTTTTGTTTTTCAATAAAACTTAATATATTCGCTGTACCTACATCTACTCCCTACGATCGTAACTCACCTGTACACGCACTCGGTTTGTGCTTGACTACAACAACTTTCTGTATTATATCGACAATATTATATAATATCCAGTCTAGATTATATCGTGGGTGAGTATAGGGAGGCCATTTCGATTGTAAACGCAGCTACATAAGAGGAAGGGAGATTTACAATATTGCGATATGTTTTTACTACTTAAATTTAGGGTATATTTTTTATGATGCACGCCGTACCAAAAAATAAAGAGAAGCACACGAGGGTGTTGTTGGCGAGTAGGTAAGGGAAAAAAATAAGAGAAAACAGCTTATATGAATAAATGATTGGCCGAAAGATGTATCAGATTTTTCAAAGAACAGAAACTGAATGTTCTCGGATGGGCATTAAATAATTGACGAACTCGTAAAATATGCGGACCGACCCCGTATTTTTTGTTGCGAGAAGATATGTACAAAATGTTTTATCGAAAGGAGTTTTCATTTAAATTAAAAACTCGTTCACTTTTATTAAGATCCTATATAGCCGACCGAAGAATCCGTTTCATCTTCGAATTTTAAAGGGGAAGCCTTCATACTTCCTATTCCAATACAGATATATATATTAAATGCGTAGACCGGATACAAATTAATCGAAATTGGTTTTCCACGAAAAAATTCCAAATTATATTTCGAATTCATAAAATAGTTACTTAGTTTTATAATATTATTAATATACCTAACATATTACACCAAACTACCAAAATATTTAAATTGGAATTAATTTGGTCCAGGTCAAGTGTACAGATTGTCATTAATAACTTATTATAAGAGAAAACCCTTTAACGGGTTTAAGGTGCTACTATATAATTAAAGAAAAGGCCGGGAATGGTAACTACAAAACTACAATGAATTATTATGATTAATAATTAAGTACATCTAACGTTATAACTTTATAAGTATCATAATATGTATTCAATGTTCATTGGCGAACTATTACATTTTGTACATATTTGTTATTTAACATTTTTAAAACATTATTAATATATTAAAACTGAGAGTGCATATGATTAAAAAAGTCGAAAAATCCAATACATTAAAAAAAAGTGTATGAACAATGGCGTCAAGTCACTGAAAAGCAATAATTAAATTTTGCCATCCTTATATAAAATAAAAACTACGGTCGCGCTGTACATATTATTTTGTGTATATATATAATATTATAAAATACAATATTTTATATATATTATACATATATTATACTCCGTATAGTATATCCTATATTAAAATTATGTCACCCTTTAAAATGGACCGCGTGTTTCCCTTTACGCAAGAAAAAATCTAATAAAAAATATGTGAAAGCGTTCAGGAAATGAGTTCTGAGCTGGTTCATATTTATTATTGACAGCAAGAACAAAAAAAAAAAAAAACGCTCTTGTTCTGAACTCCGGGAAACGCATTTATAACAAAAGGGTACGTAAAAACACTCTTAGCAATGGCACTCCTTAACGGGAAAAAATTCATTTTCACATTTTTTCCCGTTTTGTTCTGTTTCCTCCGTTGTTGTTTTATCGTTTTTTGTGTATATACCCTTCACGCTGAGGGTGAAAATTAATGGAGGTTATTTCCTACGCGAAATCATTCGGCACCGTTTACCAATTCGATCTAATGAAGTAGCTGGAATCTGATGGGTTTTTTTTTGTTTCTTTTTTGATATATATATATAATATAATAGCGCTTTGTTCATTATCTTTTGGATGTCCTATAGTTCAACTTTATATTATTCGGGCAGAATCTGTAGCGTAACTGAAAAGCAATTTCTTTAAGATAAAAATTGAAAACTATCTATATTATAATGCCGATGAAAATGTGTGGAAAAAAATTATACATTTTTCTATGTATATAACCGTCTCAGTCTTTATAAGTTTGTATGCCTACGGCACCTTATGCTCCCCTTGAATTGTGTACTTTTTAAGACCAACAACGTTTTATGCATTTTTTTATTGGCTCCAATATAAATGCCTTAAGTACTGAACCATAAAAATAACGAGCGTCTTTTGCTTTTAATTAAACCGCGCCTAGTCGCTAAAAACCACCTTTTCTACCCACTATACATTATATGGGGTTCGTTGATTAAATTTTTTTCATTATTGACTCGGTTTGTATGCAAAAATCGATAAAAATATATCTTGAGGAAACGCCATTGCTCCGCACCAGAAGTCGTGTGCAAAAGTATAATATTGTGATCGTCCCGAATGTACTGCATGAAAAATGTTAATGGCTATCACGTTAATGTTTTTTTATTTTTTTAATAAATGTATTATACCCAGTATACACAAACGAGGTGTATAAATATATGATCGACCTTGAACACAACACTTCAGGAACGCGTCATTTAAACCTATACATACATAATGTGTTTCTTTTACAACACATATAGGTATGTTTTATGTATATAGGTTCATATATATATATATTTATTATATACATATGTAAAATATGTTTACTGGTGGACCATATTGTGGGATGATGACCCTTTGCTTGGTCATATGTAGGTACCTTTTTTTTCAAGTGGTTGTACCCATTCTCAACGACTCCCCGCAGCGACTCCTTGCATTATACGTTATGTAATCGTTCCGGGTTCTATCATCGATTTAACTGACCATATTATTTCGCCATACTATGACCGTAGTAATTTAACGCAGAATCGGTCATTATTTGACTACATAATACTTTAATAACGACCCTCTCTATGCGATGCAATGTGGTCGATACCTACTATATTAATGTGTGGGGAGTATAAATATTATTTTTAAAACTGTCAAACGTGTTAATGGTATTTTCTGACGAGAAGGTGCATATGTTGCATTGATCTTTGGAGCTCATATTTAATAGACTCGTTTATTATTTAATTTAAAACTTAAATCTAATATTATATTAAAATTTATATTATGATAATTATATTTTAATATAATATAATATATTATACAATGTATATTTTGTGGACCGATATAAAATGTTTGAGGTGTATCTGACGTATAACAACGTAAACTTCCATTAAATAACTGGCATTTAATAATATATTATAATATACTATTTTGTATAAAAGGTATGTATTTTTAATGACTTATGTATACTGTTTCTCTTTGAGATCACATCTTATTAAAATCGATTATGTTTCCCTTTAATTATAAACCACTGGTGGAACGGGAGAAGGAATATGATTAATACTTTTTTTATATATAGATATAAATAGCTGATATTCGTTTTTGACTCCAGGGGCGAAAAGATAAATGGAAAAGACGTGGGAAAGAGTACAGAAAAAAATAATAATAAACGAAATCACATGATTAAAAACCGTTTCATAAAGTGGCAAAAGAAGGGCGCGCATTGTGTGTGCCAAGTGCGGATGATGTAGGAAAAATTGTTTGCGCCGGGTGCTGCGTCAGGTGGTGGGTGCGCAGGGAACGGGTGGATATGGCTGGGGAAGTAATTTAAGCTGCTGAAAGAAAATGACACGTGAGGGGGTGAGGTTGCGTGAAAAAAACAGAATGGAAAATTCAGTGAGAAAGAGAGAGAGATGAGGGAGGGGGCTAGAGAGAATGAGAAAATGAGAGACAAAAGTAACGGTGAAAAAGATTCAGTTTGTCGAGAAGCTAAAAATGAATCGGTATAAAGGGTGGAAAATAAACTGCGTATACCCAACATGATAACAGTGGCTGGCCCCTTGTTATAATCGGACCTTAACGACTTCGGTTCCCTCCTTAAAATAATAATAATAATAATAATAAAAAAAGTGTGTATAACAAATCTTTTGACGTTGTTTTCCAGTGTTGTTGCTTTTTTTTATTTCCTTCGTTTTATTTAGTTCGTTGCTTATAATATTATTTGCATGCGTGTCGCATTATTGTATTCAAACCCACAATATATGATTTCCTTTATCCTATATTATTGTTATTTGCTTGTAATTTGTATGAGAAGAGGTGTAATTAAATTGTATCATCAAAATTACTTGTTAAGAAATAAGAATAGGTGTTGAATAAAAATAATTATATTTGATTTATTTAAAATAATTATTTTGTACACAATGTATTTTTATTTTTATACTATTTGTATACATATTAACATATTGGATAATAAATATTAATGATAGAAGCAATATCCAAAATTAAATTAATACAATATTATGTTGTACGTACCTATTTATAATTTATATACGTAATATTAACTACAAAAAAATTAATAACAATACTAAGTACCTAATATAATATGATCCATTAAAAATAATGTTTTTATGTCGCCACAATTAAAACTACGTTCCCAATACAAAAAGTTAATTTATATCTATATTAGATAACAAGTTAGCCATAAATTGGCCAATTTTAGTATATTTCATGACCAAAAAAGTTCAAAAAGTTGATAATAGTTAATTATATAATATAAATATGTGGTTTAAATATTAGAGAAGACGATTGCATTTTTAAAATAATTTTGTACGAAATTCACTAAATAAAAAGTGAAACATAGACATAAAACCAATAACAAAAAAAAAAGTTTGTTTTAAGTAGTTGCTTTCAAAAATAATAATAATCACAAGTTCTAACATGGAATATTATATAACGTATAATAAATATTAAAATATAAACGAGTGCTAAAATGCAATATAAGTTGTGTTCAAACTCGAAACTATAAATTTGAATTATTTTACATATCAGAATAGTTCTTACTCGTTGCATATAATTGAGTACATAAAACAAGTATTTATAGAATTTGATGTTTTAATAATGTAACAATGCAAATCCCATAAATAATACCATTGTAAATTTGTAACCGTCACTCAAGATAATGGCCCAATCAGAATGCAATAATTCAAATTTGTATGTACATCGTCCAAGGTAACTTTTAAATACCAAACCGTTAATGTTAAATTAATACATCAACAAACGGCCCGGGATCCGGGTATCAGCTCGGCTGAAGTTTGCTCCTTTTTGGGTACAAAAAATTCCTCAATTTCCAGAAAAGTTTTGTTCTCGGTTTCCGGCATATTTCTGTAGAGGTATACGAACCCAACAAAACTGGAAGCTGCCATCATGAAGAAGGTATTGGTTAGGCCCAAAGTGTTTTCAACGCTTAAATACACTTTGGTCGCGGTAAACGTTAGGATGTAAAAAATGGCAGTGGTCAGACTCGATGCGAATCCTTTGGCTCTACACGAAAATCACGTTATTATATTATTATACCACGTTAATATTATGGAGTAATAAAATTAAAATGGTATATATAACATAGGTGTATGTATAATATTACTCGTTAGGGTATATCTCGCTGACCAACGTCCAAGGCACTGTCAACATGCCCATAGCTCCAGAGAACATGATGATCGAGTAGAGCACCATTGGCACGTAGGCTTCGGTTTTAATCAAATCAGAATTGATACACAAGAAGTATACAGCGAACATGAATATTGCCAGCGTGTTTATGCACAATGTCGATAAAGTCAACATTCGTTTGCCCAATTTCCGCACCGTTAAAGTGAGTCCCACGCTTCCGGCCAATTGCATAAATCCAAAAAGCACCTTGCATATAATATTATGAGTTAAATGAATAACGGAAAAATATAACACTATACTATTAATACTATATTTTTTTTTTCATATTTCATCTTCATTAAAAAAAAAAAAACTATACCTATAATAAATACATGTTACAAGATCGTACTCGAAAAATATAAAAAGGTGGTTGGTTCAATATATTACCAACTATAATATATTTTCCGGTGCTGTAAATAATACATTTAAAATGTATTTAATTAAGACTCAAATTTTTAACAAACTTCACTTTACAAGTACGTTTGAAGTTCAAAAAATATTATATTTAAATTTATATTATTATTGATACTTGAAAATGCATCCATCATTCATGCGGAAATATGTAATAATAAACAGTACCTAATAGTTCTATAGAATAGTATTTTATCATTTTTAAATTATAAATAGCACATAAACACGATGGTTTTAATAATATTAAAACCATCGTGAAATTAACATATTATGTTAATTTCAAATTTAATTCATGATTCAGTAAACAATAAAAATAATTTATTTATTCATAACCTGACAATAAAAATATATGTCATATATGATAAGTTTATCAATACCAATAAATATTATGGATAGTAAAAGTGTTAAAAAAAAGTATTTAATGCCAATGTAGTATTTAAATATTTTACAACACTACAGGAACCTTATTAAATATACTCACTAAGGATATACTGTGGGTATCTTTCACTCCCGATTCGTACATTAATTTGACGATATAAGGACGGCAGGGTGTCAGACACGAAATCAACGTGAATACATAGTAAACTGTGACCAATCGTAGTGGTCGGTACACCGAAGCGCTCTTGATCCACGAAAACGACGAAAACAGACCTTTCGAAACTTTTATCGTTTTCGATTGGTCGACAGATGTCTTGTAATAAAACATCAATTCTTGATACTCGGTGGCGACCACGCAAGGGTCTACCCATCCTCTCAGCCAACAAATGGCTTTCATGGCCTTTTCGTTTCTGCCTTTGGACAGCAACCAGATCGGGCTTTCCGGTATCTATGCACGAGAATAAGGAACGGGTATATAATTATAAAATGCATTATCGACGAAATTAAAAGAAACTAATCGATCAAAACTCTCACAAATGCCACGAACGTCAGACACATGACCGGACACAGGGCGCTCATCGCGGCCACGGTTTTCCAGTGGAAAACATAACTCAGCCCGTAGCTGGACAAGACGCCTATCAGACACGCCATGTTTACCACGCACGCCATGATTCCTCGGAGTCTGGGTTCGCAAATCTCTCCGATGTACGAGTACGCCGGGCCGTCGTTGAAGCCCAAGCCCATTCCCATCGTTATGGTCGACCAGTACAACATGGTAACCGAGTTGGAGTACCACAACAGTATCCAGCCGAATATGCTGGGAACGCAAGCCAGAACCACGCAAGACTTCTTTCCGAAGTGTTTCTGCGCGTACCCGGACAGGCAGCTCCCGATCGGTTGACACAAATAGAGTATACTTCCTGAAAAATAAATAAATTTGTAAAACAATGTTGGTGAATTTATAGTATGCCGGTATGTAACGAAAAATGTATCCTTTGAATCTGATATAAGCACTTCCTGTATCTATCTTCGATAAAAGGTGCAGTGTATTTACGAAACGGGAATGTGGTGATATTCGTCAATGAGGGTACATATAGTTTATCAGCAAACGCAATAAAATGCAAAAAAAACTAATACTAATAATGATTTAATTTTATAATAATATTATAATTTTATAATTTTATTGTAATTTTTTTTCAAAATACGTTCAATGCTGCAAAATGTCAACATTCAACAAAAGCTCGCCGTTTTATGAGGAATAGTCAATGTAAGCCAACGCACTTATTATAATATTTTACAAAACTGTAACACGTTATTGTATAACCAACGTTATACTAAATTTAGTACTTAGGTACTACAACAGTGACACCTACCCTAACGAATACCTCTAAATATCGGATGTTTTTTTTTGGGAACAAACTATAAACATGCTACAAACTGAACCCCCTGAATATACTAATACAATTTCAGTGACAGAGAGTGCCCGGTATTCAGGGGTATTATTGTATTGAGTTAGATTGTGATGTATTGTGTTCTTACCGTACCAAGACGACTCGGAATCAGTTATTAAAAATTCGGCATTTGGATTTTTGTAAAGTGAACCGATTACGACCGTAGCCATTGCCAACTCCATTCCAACGTTTACCAGTAATAAACTCTGAACCATCGTAGCAAGTAGCTGTAAGACAATGTATTATTATTAGCTTTGTGTACATTAAAAAGTACGCAGAGATACTTGCTTACCTGCGCAATGGTAGCCTTTCTGCCATACGTAACTTTTGTTTCTAAAACATAATATAATTTTACGTACTTTAAATTCTATTCGATTAAAATATATTAAAAATAAATGTATACAATATTTTTTACATACCCAAGTCGTTCTCGCATTGTATGTCGGTAACTGCGTGGGGCAAGGGAAATTTTCCCATTATAGTACGGTCTCACCTCCTCCAGACTTATAACACTGGTCGGGGTCGAAACTAAGTGCAGTCAATGACTAAGACACAAATTAAAAATGTACAAATTACGACTTTTGACTGAAATCACAATAGTCAGAAACTGAAAGAATAAAAAGCGGGTAAGTGCAGTGGGGTGGAGTATTTCAGCGGTGTTGGAAGTTTGTCCATCGTCCCTTCGGTCCTAGGACAGGGTAGTGTATTATTACAGTATTTGATTTTAATGCAATGATTGAATTCGATAAAAAAAACACTTTTCTAAAAAAACAAAAAAATAATGAAAAATTTAAAAGTGTGTGGTATAATATGTCAAGTGTAAGAGCGCCACACACTTTTAAATTTTTCATTATTTTTTTGTTTTTTTAGAAAAGTGTTTTTTAAAAAAAAAAATTTTATTTTTTATTTTCTACTTTTTAGTTAAAAAATTTTTTTTACGGATTATTGTATTGTCATCCAAGACCAAGGTCTATACCAATTTTCAGAATTTTTCATCTTCAAAAAGTGCCTCAAATCGAGCGCGCAAGATTTGATCACAGACAGACGTGAAACCAAACTTAAGAAAAGTGTTAAAAAACGATTCTGAGCGGAGGATCAGTGTAACAATCAGTATTTATATGTAGCAAAATATATTTATATATATATACATTTGTATGTTTAATAAGTAATATTAAATAATTTTAAATTAGATTCATAAATAATTATGTTCATGTTCAATAATAAATTGAATAAATATAAATTCATATATTTTCATTTTTTAATGGTTATTTTAAAATTGTATTCGCTCCTATAGTGATAAACAAAGCATTAGAAAAAAAATTGCTTAGCAATAGGGTATTTTGGTGGTTTTTCTCGTGGCGTTAAAAGAACTATTGAGAAAATCAAAAAATGATCTATTTAAAGTACCGTCTTGATCCAATTTGATAAAAGATATGTTACTATAATATGTTGAAATAGAAGCACTCCTTCTGGTAGAAATGTTGTTCACATGATAAAAAAAATAAAAAAAATAAACATCATTGTAAAACCACTAGCTTCGTTGCTCCGCTCAGAATCTAAAAAAAAGTAGATATAGATCCATAAGGGATTTGGATGATTCATAATTCATATTAATTACAAGTTATTAAAGATATTATTATATTATTAAGATTATTATTGTTATTAATAACACAAAATCACATATTGAACATTTATCATACAATTGTTGTTTATTACTTATATTAGCATGCATTGCTCATAAAAGACAAATATTAAACGTAAATATATAATAATAGTATTATAATTTACTATTACAATTGATTAGTTATAAAAAGGTTTGTGAGTTGTGAGTAATATGGTTGATTCATCCATATTTTAGTGAAATCTAATCAACTGTATATATTAATAAAAAAAAAAAACGAAATGTAATTGCATAAGCCCACAAAGAAACGAAAAACACAAAATATACCTAGTATACATACAACATACTATTATACTATACATACATATATTATTTATACTGTTTATTATGAATTATCATAGAAAGATTGCGCGTTCGTAATGAACAGTAATTAAAGTGTCGTATTGACTTTTATCAAGCTATTCGTAGAAACATTATTTAAATGCAAAATATAATGATTTAATATTAAATTAATATCATTTTATTATTCGAAACAAGATTGTTCTAATAGTGATAACTTACTGATAAGGTCACTGGGAACAGTAATAATCGTTAGTAATTAATACTTGTCACAACGTACAGAGTTAAACAAAAAAACAGAAATTGTACACATAAAAATAAATATAACTAATGACAATATTGGATATCAATCAATTCGATTCTAACTCTTTCCGCGAGGTTAAAGAACTGGTCTTGATATTAAGATATCTTGTGATGCAACATTATTCCATATCATACTCGTAACATCGCAGCATTTTAAAAACGGAATCTTTAGAAAAAGCTTAAAAAATAACTAATAATAATAATTATAATATTAATCAAATATTGTTTGTTACAATTTTCCAATTACAGGTTAAAATCGTTGGAAGCCAAAAAAAAAGTGTAATGTAATACATTAATCGCCAGGCAGGACCCGAATGTTGACGATATGAATTTAGTTAGCATTTTTAATACATTTTTCAACAACTAATTCACAAGAATTGTTGTAGAGAAACAAAGAAACAAAGAAAAGTTAAAACATAATATATATAATTTATTATATAAATATTATATTAGACTTATTAATTATATCTGTAATTTATTTTACTGTCAGCTATAGTCCACTAGACACACATTAAATATTTGAATAGTAGGTATATGTCTTAGCGCCTGTGACGATGGTTTAATAAATAACTATTTGTCCTATTAGATTATATCAATCTTGAATTCCAACTTTGAATTTAAATGTTCAATCAATTTAGTAGTAATATATTATTTAGTTTGGTGTTTCTTATTTATATGATTATTTATCAGATAATACGTCATATTTAACAATGGGTACCTAAAAATACTTTTTATTAATAATTTAAATTTAAATATTTTTCCAAATATTTTTTTAAACCGAGTTTAATTTATGGTTCTTTTTTTTAAATGTTATTAGATCAAAAACCCATTTTTTATAAAATCGTCTTCATAGCTAACCTCATAATATTGTTGGTATAATGTCAGAAACTACAATCATAATAGATTTACAAAACCCTCTGGTTCCAACAAACGGTGGTGTCTCTACAAAAAGTTTGGAATCGACGATTTTAATCATTAATGAAAGTTATATTATAAACATCGATTTGAAATGTCCATCAGTTTTCAAGTGCCTACCCACTTATCTACATATATACGTGACAATCTACCGCATTGTTACTGTAAATTTTTTTCATGCCAAACTTTGTGCGACGATTTATAGTAAAATATACTTTTATACGGCTTTCTCGTTATCGCGTCCGTAATAATAATTATATATACCGAGAGAGCCGCATCGTCGTCGTCGTAGTCGTCGACGAAACGGTCCCGGAGCGACCGGGGCTCCGTCTCACTTAAAATAAATGAAAATCCCTCAACGTTCCTTATTAATTACACCGGTTATGCGCGCGCCCTTTCGCCTCTTCCGCAGTAATTTATGGCTTTCACTGGGCGGTAAAAACAAAAAATAAACGTTTGAAAAAAAATACATTCTCCAGCCGCCGCCGCCACCACCACCACCACAGCGTCGACATATCCCGCTGCAGGTAAGCGCGTATTTTACCCATATTATATGCGTTGAAATAATATTACGTGTGGCCTACACACACGCGAACTGACGAGGCAAAAACGACACTTCAGCCTCTATCGTGGGAGGGGGGGGGGATTTGAAGGAATTCGGTGGTTTTCAACCCGACCCCACGACCGCCGAGTCTGCGACAGTTCGAAAACTGTAATATTATAATTTATAATATATTATATTATGATTATAACACTATACGCAGGTATACGCCCGCTACTGCTGCAGTTATAATATATCATCGCTTGTACGACCATCACATTATTATAATATCACCTATGATATATTATAGTTGCGTTCAACTCGGTCACGTAGCTTGCCTACACAATTCTCCAAGAGTGTATTATAATAATATTATGTGTAACACAAACGAATTGGTGGAAAATGTAAATCGATTTCGACGAATATATATACACTGCGACTACTGCAGGCCCGAAACGAGCTGGTCGCATAGAATACAAAATAGTTTACTTGAATTTTTTTCTCCGTAGGGCTTATGCTCATAGGTGTGCCGTATGTACTATGTAGATTGTAGGTACTGTGCGTGTATTTTTATATTTAACGTATATACAAATAAGCCTCGATAAAGAGTAGTCGTAAGTCAAAATGTCGTAACTATAACATCGGTCCGTGCAAAAACAAGACGAATCAATTTTCATCAAAAATCCGGTTTAGATAATTTATTTGATAAAAAAACGGTACTACTGTACTATCCTTGCAAAAGCGAGATGGGTCCAATAACCCCAATATAAAGTACTTGAAGCTGTCTTTTATTTTCTGGAAAAAATCAGATAGCTCTGAAAATAAAACTTGTTTTTTTTTGGAATTGAAAAAATATGTAATTGTCTGGTTTTTGCACGGACCCTTCATATTGTACATTATAATATTATTATGGGTGTGGGTAAAATAGTTAATATAGTCCGAAATACAAGTAAAATTCTTAGCGTCACATATATAATATTATGACGTACGTATATTATATTATTATTACACGTTTCGTATGTCAGCTAAATTATGTGAATGAATAAAATATAAATCATGTATAATGTACCTTTATAGAGATGGTTTTCCTCGACGGTTAACGCAGAAAGGCAGACCCAGACGTGTTTTACTGCAGCAGACGATTATCACGCGAACGAATTAATAATTATGATTTGATATTATCGACAATAATATTACAATTACAACAGTCGGGAAATGGCAACAACCACTGTCGCATTACAACTAAATAAATAACAGTAAAATGCGATTGTCACTAAACCACAAACTGAGACAATACGTTTTTGGGTTTTCTCGCTGCATAGCGTATTACTGTTACGATAAAATGAATTCCAAGCAGTATGATATTATGCCAGGCCATTCATCAACTCGACTTATTGATTTAACATCGACCAATTAATTCCATTACGAAAATCGGTCGTGTGGGGCGCGATACGGAACAATAATAATAATAATTATGGTGATATGGGTATTTATGTTGTTAACAATCAATTAACCGACGGCTGTAAATAAGATAATATTATTTGCATACAGAGCGCGTCCGACGCATTTAAATAATATATTTATATTGAATTATATTATTATTCTCTGTTTTTGAGCGGCGGGAGTGAGGCGATCTGTATTGTGCGCTTTGTACCGTGCCACTGTTCGTCTCAGAGAATCCCACCGGTGACACTACGTATGGATAATAATATTATTATGCTAAATGTTATAGACCGACCTCTATTATTTCTTCGAGAT